TCGTGGATTGCCTGAGCCCGCGGGTTCGAGACCCGCCTGGGCAACTTGGCGAGACCTCATCTCTACAATAAAGCAAACAAATTAGCCGGGCATGGTAGCACGCGCCTGTAGTTCCATCTACTTGGAAGGCTGAGGCGGAAAGATCGCTGGAGCCCAGCAGGTCGAGGCTGTGGGCCACTGCACTCCAGTCTGGGTGACAGAGTGAGACTCCAACTCAAAAAAAAAAAGGAAAATCATTGAGGTAAAATGCAAGCAAATAAGTAAATAAATAAATGTCAACAACCTAAAGACACTAATAAAGACCTACGTAAGTATGACGTACATACCCACATACCCATGGAATGGAAAACGATACAACTATTAAACATAGCACTACAGATTTTTTATTTTTTGGCATAGAAAGACAATTGTGACATATAACTCAGTGAAAAAGCAGTTTTTAAGACATCCTATATTGTATACACAGCCATGTATCGCTTATCAATGGGAACAAGTTCTGAGAAACTCCTCATTAGGTGAATTTGTCATTGTGTGAACATCATTCAGTATACTTACAAAAATCTAGATAATCTAGCCTTCTACAAAGCCAACCTACATGGTATAGCCTATTGCTTCCATGCTACAAACGTGTACAGCATGTTCCTATACTGAGTATTGTAGGCAGTTGGAAGTATTGACTACAGTATTTTTATATCTAAACATAGAAAAGGCACAATAAAATAATGGCATTATAATCTTATGGAACCACCATCATATTATGATTATCATGTTATTATACGGTGCTTGACTGTGTTATAATAATTGGGGGAAAGTCCAGAATTGTATATAGCCCAATGTTGATGGTGGTTATCTCTGAATGGCAGAACTATGGATAATATATGTATTTATACATTGCTAAAGTATAAAAAACTTAGTCAGGCATAGTGGCACATGCCTGTAGTACCAGCTACTTGGAAGACTAATGTAGGAAGATCACTTGAGTCGAGGAGTTTGAGTGCCACTGTACTCCAGCCTGGGCGACAGAGTGAGACACTGACTCAAAAATTTAAAAATTAAAAATAATAAATAAATAAGATGGTATCAGATATTCCCATTGCAGATTGAAGGAAAGCAGACATATCATCTCACACACCACTTATCCCACTTTGAGAAACACTGCATTAAATGGATGTTCTTTGAATGAATGACAGCATTGCTATGGGCTGCTAAAAATGATGCAGTCTGGTTACAGCTTCCACTAGTGACTCCAAAGTTAAAATCTTGAATTTAGCCGGGCTCGGTGGCTCAGCCTATAATCCCGTGCCTTTGGGAGGCTGAGGTGAGTGAACTGCCTGAGCCCGCGGGTTCAAGACCCGCCTGGGCAGCGAGACCTCATCTCTACAATAAATCAAAAAATCAGCCGGGCGTGGTAGTGCATGCCTGTAATTCTGGCTACTTGGAAGGCTGAGGCGGAAGGATCACTGGAGCCCACCAGGTCGAGGCTGTGGTGGCCAGGAGCGGCCACTGCACTCCAGTCTGGGCGACAGAGTGAGTCTCCGACTCAAAAAAAAAAAATCTCGAATTCTAGCTGGGCACGGTGGCTCATGCTTATAATCCCAGCTCTTTGGGAGGCCAAGGTGAGAGGATTACCTGAGCCCAGAAGTTCGAGAACAGCCTGGGCAACATGGCGAGACATTGCCTCTACAATAATTCAAAAAAATTAGCTGGGCGTTGGGACGCACACCTGTAGCTCCTGCTACTTTGAAGGCTAAGGCAGAAAAATCGTCTGAACCCAGTAGATCAAGGATGTGGTGGCTGTAAGCATGCCACTGCACTCCAGCCTGGACGATAGAGTAAGATTCCAACTCAAAAAAAATTTAAAGACTATTCACCTAAACACTGTTGAAATAATAAAGAAAAGAAAATACGTGTGTGTGTGTGTGTGTGTGTGTGTGTAAAATCTTTAAAGGGAATTCTAGAAGAGTCATTGTCAACAAACCACTGAGATGTTCCTTTCCCACTTGTCAGTGAAACCAGTCTGATAGACAAATTAGCAGTTTTTGGAGAATTTATCTAGTTCTGATCTTGTTTTTCACTTGTGGTATCTTGTGACTATTTTCTATGGCTTGAAATCAATTGAATTATTAGTGTCTTTTGACAGAGCAAGAAGCCTTGAAGAAAAGTTGAACAAACAAAATAAATGTAATTGGCATTACAGTGATGGAAAAAGGCATGTTTATCATTATAAATCAGCTCGAAATCTGGCCCAAATCACCTACTTAAATGTTTTCAAGCTGTTATCTAAGATTCTTCATAGGTTTCCAATCTTATTTTATATGTAACATAAGAAAAAAGCATTAGAAGATCAGCCTAGAAATTAGACGTCTTTTCTTCTCCCTTCCCCAGAGGTTTAAAGTATTTGTAGTACTTAAGACAATAAATGCATGGGTAGCAGGTGTGTGTGCACCAGAAGCTGGAAAATCCAGCTTTGCAATGGAGTCAGCAAAACTCAGCCTCCTTCTCATCCTCATCTGATCAGCTATGGTCTGACCTTGGGCTGGCTGCTTAATCTCCATGGCCTCATCAACTACAAGAAGGAGGAGTTCCTTCTCTAGTTAAATAAGACTT